TCCGTGGCCATTTCATTTGTCGCCGAGAATCAAATAGATTACACGACATTTGAAAAATGGCAAAAAGGAGGGAAAATTCAAAAGGTGGGGTTGAGATGGGAAGTTAGTGTCCGAGTGTTTCGAAGTCACGATAGCTCAAGTGGTAGAGTAACCGCGTATCTACCCGAAGGTCGTGGGTTCGAATCCCGTTCGTGACACTGACTTTTTTATCTCAACCTTAATTAATTGAAAAGAATTTATTTGGTCAAGCGGACCACGAAACCTAATAAAATGTGTTACAAAGTTTCAACAAAGTAAGGAAACTAGTTTGGTTTGAGAAATTTGAAATTAAAAAATGTAAAATTAATCATGGAGATAAATGCATAAATAATATAAAAAATGTTGATTTACCTCCTGTTTTAAACACATACCAAAAAAATATTTGGCAAACAAATCAATTACCAATTTAAAATTATTTTCATTATTTATTAGGATATTATTTAATTTTGTTGTAATTCATGTTTTTTTATGTGGTTCTAGTTGCAAGTATAACTTATGTTCGTACAATATTTAATCGAAGTATTATGAATAAAGCACAAGTTCTTAAAACTTTCTTAGATCTACCAACATCACGCAAGGCTTTTACTTAAATGTACCCTTGAAAAACGCTTAGAGCTTGTTTCCATTGTAATTTTTTTACTCATTGTAATGAGAGTTTTCGAAAATTAGCAAACTGTGGGATGTTGCAACAAATTTGTACGATCAGTTACAAATCATGATCTAATCATGACAACGTGTACAATGCTCCGGAAGTGTAGAAATGGTGAGTAAATAATACTTATCATCTTCATACTACTTTTGTTACGACCTCGTAAATGTCTTGTTCTCTTTGTTGCACCTTTTAGTTCTATGTTGCTCGATGTGGAAATATTTTGCAAGATTTTGAATTTTGGAAGGGATGTTGCGATCGTACAAATGTGATTAGCCATTCTTGTACGATCGTACAAGCTTGTATATTCTCGTAAAAATTCGTTGTTAATTGTATGTCAAATTGATTTTGTTTATAAAAACAATTTTCAAATGAAGCAGGTCTGCGGATGGTAAATACTTTCAATATATGTTGCAGGTACAATCAGAGAAGAATCAGATTTTTTGGTTTTTGAGTTTGTCCGATTTTTGTCCCAGGGGTTTCAGTTATATGAAACACTTTCGGACCTCATCCTGTTTTCATTGGTTGAACTTGAAATCGCCAGGAGATAGAAAATTACACCGTCATATCACGTATCCGTGACACCGCCAACCTCTATTGTCAACCAGCGTGTAGAGACAATGTGGAACAAATAATAAAAAAATATAATAAGGATGCCCTTGGCGGCTCAATCTGAGACAGACGATAGTATCGGGTAGGATAGAATCATTATGACTCCAAAGTGAGACAGATGGAGAGAAGGGGTCGGCGATGGTGTGAATGAACTTCACATCACACACTGCGGAGATGCTTGATACCATAGGACAAACTTTGCACTGAAAAAATTAGAAGTTAATATATAGGAAAATATGAAGAAAACGCCACTGATAAAACTAGAAATTGTTTATCCTACAAAGATAAGATTTCATTTAAAAAACAAAATTTAATAAACCGCTGGCGCCTTGGATTCCAACTAAATATTTGGACAAGATAAACAAATACAATCGATATTTTTTGTTTAATTAGCAATTTTTAATTAATTCATTTTTATACGCCCAGCGTGAATTTCTAAGTGGTTTACATAACGCAATCATCTATAAATAAGTTCAAAATCTTACTCATGAGTTATTTGTCCGCATTTATTAACTACATTTATGCTGCGTTTACACAGCATAAATTACTCTGTCGATTCTTAAAACCACACCGTGAAATCGTATTAAAGAGTATAATAAGTAAAGTAAAGGCTTATGAACATTAGAATAATAATTCAGAAATCGTGAGTGCCAACATTTCGATCTTAATTGAGATCATCTTCAGGGCCTTCATTTACAAACATTTTAAATTTGTTGTGTTGTTAAATTTAAACAGTGTTTGTAAATCTCAGGCCCTGAAGATGATCTCAATAAAGATCGAAACATTGGCACGATAAAGAAAATGTTTTTCTGGAACCTACGTCACACCAAACAGCATCTCACGATTTCTGAATAATTATCGATTAACGGTCACTAATCACCACCCAAATCAAAATTTTGACTATTTTCTGTCCTACTTTGCTTATCGAATGTTTGTTAAAATATGCAAAAAAGCAGTATTTTGTTGATTTATCTATTTAAATCATAGCAAATTAGAATATTCTGCGTCATACTCGTAGAACATTTTTGTTTTTACGTTAACCAAAAATAAAAATAAAATTAACATCTAAAACTTTAATCTTTAAAAGCATGTGGAACGGCGAAATAAAAATATTAACAAATAAATAAAAAAAAAATTACATATACATATAATTCAATATGCTAATATATATATATTAGTTAGCATAGTAAGCACAGTTACCGAAAATTTACTATTAAAAAAAATGGAATAAAATAGTGATTGTGAAAATAATCAAAACTGTAATACGTTGCTGTTGTTGCAAAACTCCCTGGGTAGAAATTTATTAGTTTAAAAAAGTGTTAATTTTATTGGAAAAACATTCATAGGTAAGAATTGCAAGAATTATAGAAAAGAAAATGTAATCAGATGGCGCGAAGTCAGAGTTATAAGATGGGAGAGGCAATACACTGACACACACACACACACACACACACACACACACACACACTTTCTATTGCTGTGAATTCAACTTCGACCAACCCTTTTTTCCCGTTTAATTTGAAAAATTAGAATTGACCATAACAAGCAAATAAAATGGTGAAAGATAAATATGTACCTGTATTTTCTCGAGTGGAGAAGTCACTCAGTATGCTATAATAAATAAGATATAAGTAACCCTAAGCATCAACTTGTTACTCAAGATGATCGGCGTTTCAGTCAGCATTGTGAACTATCAGGTAGTGTGGCTGAGGAAAGTTGGGTTATTAAATGATTGGGATGATCAGTGAGTGAGGCATGGAATTGATTGTATCTCGATATGATAGCGTGGGAAACTGAATGGATGTTGAGGTCATAGTGAACGGAACGGTTAGACACAGAAAAGAGCATTGTAACTCATTGGACGGTTTTGGACTGGAAGGACTGGATTCGACAGGAGTTGGATGCTTTGGCTGAGCCCCCATATTTCTCTATGGGTCCATGTCGGTTGGAGTAGTGTGTACTATTCTTTTATTGTTAAGGGATAGTTTGGATCGTCTGAGGTGAGAGAGAATTTAATTTCGTTTATTAAGTACTTCATTAAATCTAGTATGGGGATTCCATGTGACGCGTTTGTCGATGTGTCCTTAGTAGTGATCACAGTTCTGTGAGTAGAAGAACACGTACACACGAGGCAGAATATATAGTTATAATAATTTTAAAAAAAGAAGACAAGTTATTACCCTTGGTTTTTATGTTTGTGCTTTGATCACCGAATTTTTCCCTGAGAAAGGCCAAATTTAAACCGAAATCTTGGCATAATTCAATACTGTGCTTCATTTGAACCACAACCCTGATCCCTCACTTATTGTAAATTCAAGTTGGTCGATACATTGCAACATTATATGAAAAATTAGTGTAACGAGCGGGCTTCGAACCCACTACAAATGGATTAGCGCCTCGGTGCTCTACCATTTGAGCTATCGTGACTTCGGTTTCTAAATTATATAAAAAATATCATTAGTAAATAAAGTTTTAACTAGGTCGGCTGGTTTAAAAATTTATATGTGTAAATTTGTATTCTAAAAATAATACAAAAATTCAATGGAGTTGGGTTGAGCCTAGATATGTAAACTGCCAGTAGCTTTGCCGATTGTTTAGTCAGTTTGTTAAATTTGGTTTTGGTTTATAAGCAAAATGTTCTTTTAGTGTAATTTGACATAATCGAGTATTCAAAGAGTATATTCATGTTTACAAACTACTATTGACGAGGAAAGACCAGTTACGACGTCAAGGTTATAAGCAGTGCAAGATCATAATGGGCACAATGCTGATGTCTTCAATTTTGCCCGGGTCAAACATGAACTCTTGCTGTTTTTTTAGCTTGGCTAAAAAATTTAAAAGCCAAGAGAGATATGTTTATAAATTTGAATATTTACAAGTATAATTCATTCAAAATCGTCTGGCAGTTATGTATCAAAAACTGGCAAAATTTCTCAAAATTTAAAAAACAAGCTCAGAACAAAAAAATCTTACTATCCGTCAAATTTTGGCCATTTGACTTAAATATTATCTAACATTTCATATAAACATGATTTTGTACGTGAACCTGATCGTTTTTAATATAACGTTATAGATAAAGTGTTAAAACTAAGTCGCGGTGGAGCTTAATTTCGAATTTAAACATTCCGCAGTTTTGTCTTTTGCAATAGGGCGAGGTGAATGGGATGTAAATTTTTTTTTGTCCGGTTTCGGATGAGAAACTACTATTGTGCTGACCAACAAAATGGGCACACGTCCTTGGCGTCTTTGTCTGTTTTTAACAATACTCAATTTACTCTTCCATCGGATAAGTGCATAATTAAAACGGCTTCGAAGAAAATGATGAACCCTCTTTGGACTTATTTACAGTCCCAAGACTTTGCCGATATGGAAATCGGTTCAAGACGAATTAACGGTATGGTCAAAAACCGTGCAATAACGGTACCGGTTTAATCAGTCGGCAATTGTAATTAAATCACGTTTGCTATCATCATGCACAGTGCATCAGACCAATTAGAACTTTTAAAACATTTTCGATTTAAAAAAGATTTTAACTATTATTTTATCTTTTTTTACAGGGACGCAGTATGAGAACCGCGTGGGCGATATGACCATGAGGGAGGATGTCATGAAATTCGAACAGGAGAGGATCAAAGCCCTCCAGGAAGAGAGGTTACACATACAAAAGAAAACGTTCACAAAATGGATGAACTCTTTTCTCCAAAAGGTAAGAAAATAACCCACAGACCTGGTCAAAAGAATGCGAGGTCCTTTTTTCTGTTCTAATGTCAAACCTTTTAGATTACATATACCTGTTTTAGAGATAGACAAAACAAACATTAGATAAAGACTGGGGAATGATGCAAAGAATTTGCTTCGGAACCGTGTCCTTTGTTTTTTTAAGGGCACACCCTTGTGGTTTATGCTATCGTTGAGTAAACGGTTAATGATTCCTCTTAGAAAGTATTTCCGGCTTAAGTAGACAATAATTGACATTAACTATTGACCTGTGTTGAAAAATCAATCGGATCGTTTTGAGCTTAATTAATTGAATTCAATGAAATTATAATAGAAAGGATTTCTGGTTTGACCTTAGCCTAGCCCAACACCTCACTGTTATTTGTCAGTAGTTGACCCTATTTCACAATACGTATTACTCTATTTTGACTATGTATATGATTTACTGTCTCAGGATCTAGTTCATATCAAAAGCATTTGAAAAAAGTCATAATTAACATTTTGAGAAATTGAAAGGTTAATAGAATCTCTTTAGCTATTGCCTGCACGTCTTTATTTGTCTAAAACTTTAACATTTAAACTGTTAGCTCACGAATAATCTGGATCTCGGTATGGTCTAGATGAAAAACAAAAAACAAATTCAGTTGTTAAATGCCAAACTTTCGATCTATTTTAAAATCCGGGCCTTTGTGATTGCAATAATCCTTGGTGTGGAGTACACGACATTTGAAAAATGGCAAAAAGGAGGGAAAATTCAAAAGGTGGGGTTGAGATGGGAAGTTCTATAGTACAATAACTTTAAAGTAAACTACTGTTGTAACCAGAAAATTTTCTTCAGGCAGCTTAAACCAAAATGAATTTCTCAATTACCTACAGTTAGTGTTTTTAAATGCAGATCTTTTAGTAGTTTCAATAGGAAATTGTTTCAATATGCTTGCAGACTACTGCTCTAAAAGAGAGCTCTACTTTTTCTATTTCTAACTTCTTCTAAAAGAATGTAGTCGTTTGAATACAAACAAGTCATTTTGATAACTTTTTACAATTTTTCAATTGATTAAGGTTTTTAGTTGAGATAAAAACGTCAGCGTCACGAGCGGGATTCGAACCCATGACCTTCGGCTAGATTCGCCGCTGCTCAACCACTTGAGCTATCGCGACTTCGATTTCGATCCGCTCGGACACCAACTTCCCATCTCAACCCAACCTTTTGAATTTTCCTTCCTTTTTGCCATTTTTCAAGGTGGGGTTGAAATGGGAAGTTGGTGTCCGAGCGGATCGAAGTCACGATAGCTCAAGTGGTTGAGCAGCGGCGTATTTAGCCGAAGGTCGTAGGTTCGAATCCCGCTTGTGACACTTACTTTTTTATCTCAACCAAAACCTTAATTAATGGAAATCCTCGGCAATGTTGGGACTAAATCTATCTTCAAAGACATGTGAAATAATTTATTAATTATTTAGAAATAGTGAGACGAGGCCTGGTGTGATGGAGGTTTCAGAAAAACATTTTCTTTATCGTGCCAACGTTTCAATCTTCAAGCATATTGAATTATATGTATATGTAATATTTTTTTAAATTTATTTGTTAATATTTTTATTTCGCCGTTCCACATGCTTTTAGACATTAAAGTTTTAGATGTTAATTTTATTTTTATTTTTGGTGTATTAATTTCATTGTTGGTTAACGTAAAAACAAAACTGTTCTACGAGTACGACGCAGAATATTCTAATTTGCTATGATTTAAATAGATAAATCAACAAAATACTGCTTTTTTGCATATTTTAACAAACATTCGATAAGCAAAGTAGGACAGAAAATAGTCAAAAGTTTGATTTGGGTGGTGATTAATGACCGTTAATCGATAATTATTCAGAAATCGTGAGATGCTGTTTGGTGTGACGTAGGTTCCAGAAAAACATTTTCTTTATCGTGCCAATGTTTCGATCTTTATTGAGATCATCTTCAGGGCCTGGTATTTACAAACATTGTTTAAATTTAACAAATACATGTAGGATGTGGAAAAAAGTGAATTTATACAATGCAAAAAATATTTTTTGTATTCAATCAAAGTATTTCTACTCACTCAAAGTGTTTGCTTTCTGTGTAATTGTGCCATTCTTGCGTGTCGAGTTGAGAGTGTCAGTGAGATTTTGCTGATTTATGTTTATATACGTTGGATTTTGAAGGGGTGGGAAAGGAAGTCGGTATAGAAAGACATTTTTGTATAAGGCGTCGGCTTCTTTATGACCCATCTCAACCCCACCTTTTGAATTTTCTCTCCTTTTTGCCATTTTTCTTAATTAATTGAAAGATATTAATTGGTCAAGCGGACTACGAAAATTAGTGAATTTAATAAGTTAAAATGAAGTATACCTTCACTAAAGCTCTCCGTGGCCATTTCATTTGTCGCCGAGAATCAAATAGATTACAAGACATTTGAAAAATGGCAAAAAGGAGGGAAAATTCAAAAGGTGGGGTTGAGATGGGAAGTTAGTGAGTGGATCGAGGTCACGATAGCTCAAGTGGTAGAGTAGCCGAAGGTCGTGGGTTCGATTCCCGCTCGTTGCATTGACTTTTTTTTATCTCAACTAAAAACCTTTATTAATTGAAAGATTAATTGGACAAGCGGACAACGAAAACTAGTGAAGTTAAATTTAATGTTCAAAATGTCCAGTGCTTTCTCTGTTGGAGGTGGACATTTGAGCACTGACTAATTTTGGAAATAAGGTGTTTAATGCGATTATACATAATTAGTGGCATTTATGGATAATATCAAATGTCGAGGCACGATAACCTACTGTTCTGAATCAGCAGTTTGTTTCACTACTAAACACCCCTTTAGGCAAGTAAAAACGAGGGCAAACAGTGAGAACCGGGGTGCCGATTCACCAGATTCGATCATATAAGTAATCATAAATAATCCTACTGACACAAAAATCTCAGCATAAGTTTTACATAAAAAAACCCTTTGTGTAGTTTATTAACAATACATAAAGACCAACCAATCATAAGAGACGAGTTTAAGATGTAGGTTGGCTGAAGAAGACTAGCTTGATTTAACTGACTCGTAGATTTCAACATTTGCTATACCTTCTTAGTTGTGAAGATGATGTGCCAATAATGTACAAATGGTACGTAAACAAAAGGATTTTGATTTATGAAAAGTTTGATCTGGTCCTCCTGTACACGCTGTGTTCTTTCTTTTCTGCTTTCACATAAAAAGGTTCTAACACTTCTTCCTCTCGCGTATTAGGATTTTACAAAGATCGGTTTTGCATATAAACGGCTTGAAATACGTAGACCTTGGCCTTGACGGTTTCTGTTTGTTTAGTGCCACTCCTTCGTGGCTCTCTGGTGAAAGGAAACTTCAATGCTTTCCATTCCTGTTCATTCCATCGGCAAATGCACCGAATGTCTGAATAAATTAAGAGTTGTGCCATTTTTCCCCCTACGAACTAGTCCATTGAGAAATTCATTGCTTATATCTCGAGACGAAGAAGAGACGGAGAAAGAAACAAAATAAAACTTCATATAACCGTTGATCTAATCTAATTTACATGTATACGTTCGAAAAACAGCCGATGTTTTCTTTAAAAGGGTATTGACGTTGACCGGTCATCACTGACCTCTCGGTACACCCACTTCCAGATAAAACTGACAGACATGTCAGCTCGACCAGTCAGACCAATCAGTAATTCTATTCGATTTAAAGGAATAATTAATAATTCAATAGCAACGGATATCTGGAAATCTGGAATACCGTTATGAAGTCGACAAACCTTACTAACCACGCAAATGCTTAGTCCGCGTTTGTTGAATATTATCCCCCGTTTTAGTCGTCCCAGGTTCGCTGATTTTCGCTGGTTTTAAACGCTTTGACAGCCAGATTGGGTGGCTCAAAACAAGGGATTTTTTCATTTATCTGTATCACATCAACCTACTTATTTATTTCAATTAATTATTCTTTTTATGAAAGGTCTTGGTTGAAATGAAGAGAAATAGAAAAATAAGAATAATTAATTGAAATAAGTAATTTGGTCAATTAGATTACCAAACATAAATGGATGTTACCTTACACTACTTATTTTTGTTTCCTTTCTTTTTAGTCACTATAGGTTTTTGGTTGACAATCATACATCCACATTACATACTACTCTCTCTCTTTCTCAGTCACAAAAACACATACACACTCGCAGTAGTAGATTTTCAAGAGACTTTTTATGTTTCCTGTGTATGGAGGAAGTATTTAACTTCAGATATGAGATAATTATCTTTATTATCAGCTCGTGCATCATTATTGATAACCTGTACGTCATTTCCGCTTGTTTCTCACCGGCAAGTTTATGCTGTTAGCGTTAAGCCGAAATTTGAACGACGAACACTGATCGTTCAAATTTTTCAACTAAATTAAGCCTAATCAAGGACAATCGGCGAGAACTGGCGGCTCCACGACGATCGAAAGATACCGGATGAACTTCTCGATTCGAACCGATGATGCCATTGGTTAGGAATGTATCAAATGAAATTTCGGAGCAGAAAGGCATCATGTATGATGAGGGTTTGTGCTGTAATTGACGTAATTATATCATTTCGATGATCTGGCTTTAATTCGAGTTGTGTTCTGGGCTCGTGGTCGTAAAAAAACTACTCGTGAAAAATTTACAAACAGGGAGGAAATTGAATTGTTAGTTCTAACGACAATGATTTCTTAAGAGATTGTTTAATTTACAGCTGTGAAGATTCTAGTCGCTTTTCTGAATTGATATTTGGATTTAACAAATGTTAAAAAAATACCTTTATGATTATTATTACGATTATAAAAAAAAAATTATTCTCTCAAAATTATAGTTAAATAGAACATATAGTCATAATCACATCTACTTTACTATTGTTGCGAGTTTATTTATGCAGGTAGAGGTACTACTAGTTGCTTTACATAGTTGTATTTATAAAAAAGATTTTCTTTTCTCATAACTTTTAAATTAATTAAG